ATCATTGTGATGCATTGAATCCTTTTCAGTTCTTCTGCCAATGATTTCTGAGGGTATGAATCCCGAAAATCAGACATTTTTCGAAATGGAAGAGGATCATGAACGATTATGTGGTGTCGAAGGGAGGCTTCTCAAAGGTATGATGGTCTTTCACTACATCGATTTCGCCAACTGTTTCCCCGAACAACCATTTGACATTTGAGTACGACCTTTTGAATGCCCATTAGTTTCCTTTTCTTAGTCCTCTTCTCGCTGTTTACAGCCTGTTTATTACTTACAATTGTGTTTCGCACAGAATCAGCACAGATTATGGCAACTATCCCCATACTTACAGCTCCCTTGTTCAGTAGTGGCTACATTAAATTTTTGATTGAACTAGTTGAGATACTCGCTAATGGGTCAGGAGGCCCTCCTTACCCGTGTCCATAAGAATTGTAATGTTGTGGATCTCTGGGCGAAATGGTATGAATGATGATCGTGAAGAGATGGCGTGGCCTAAACATTGGGTAGAATTCGATCCATTGGCAATGCTGTGTATAGGCCTTACCAATCTTATTGAACCCGAACTATGAGCCATAAACCCAGACTCTTTTGTATTCAGAAAAAGGCAATAGACTTGTGCAGTGCTCCTCAGACGACGAATGTTTGCCCCCTTCTCAATGCCATACTACCGGTTACTGTTGTATGATCGCTTTGAACCAGGAACCACCCCCAGTCGGGTGTCCAATTGGTAAGTTTGAAGTTTTTCCGCTTTTCCGAGTCAGAAGGTAAAAAAATCGATTTCAAGGGACCAGACCGCTCGTAAACTCTTCGGGAATGGAACTCACCTGCTCACCGTCTGTACCAGATTCCTGTCCAGGTGGCGCACTCTGTTACACGGACTCTCTGACAAATGCAAAACGATGCTGCGGGACCGATCCTGGTTTGTAAATAATATTTTTCTTTGAAAACTTGCATCTGAGAGCCAACGATGATGCTTATGCAGGAATTTTCATATTGGGATCAGTTCAATTCATTCAACCTTGAATGACAGTCGAGTAGTAAAAGCAGCAAAATCAATAAATAAGGGAAGATAAAAAGATGAAGAAAGGTCACCAAAAATTTTCAAAATCAAAGCAAAACATTGCAAATCGAAAAGCCTGCTATCCAGCACGGAGGATGACATACGATAGATTCTATGTAAGAAAAAGAGGCGTAGTTGATAACCCAAATAGGCTAGCTCAGGATTGGATAACCCAAGTAGACGAGGACAGGGTTGCTCTCACCCTTAAGGGACCGTACTCTCGCTAGTTTTTGATTATTTATTTGCGGCTTCCCAGACCAGTTGATTGAGTTATCGCTTGATTCTGTGCGTTTCCGTCAACTGCAGGTCGGATTCCCTATGGCTTATGTACTCCCCGAAATGAACTGGAAACACTGGAGTGCTGCATCTAGTGTTTTCTATGAAATCTTTTGAATGTCCACAAATCAGTCTCCAATCCGACTCTACTTTTTGCCCACATGAATTTATCCCTCGCATGACATACAAGCTAACTTCACGGAAATAGGTTCGACAAGTTCATGTGGGTGAGGGCCTTTTTACCTTGAGGAATTTTTTCATGATTTCCTAATTTTAGGTCAAGGATGCCCATCTGGGTCTCGTGTCCTTCTAACATCACTTGAGAAACCAATGCTTTGCATACCTGGGAAGGCCGATGCATTGTGCCCACGCGGAGCTCTCTGTCAGTGGAGCCACCTTATCGATAGATATCAGTGCTGTGAGCCTGATAACGGTAATTTGAGCTTCTTTTCTGTTCTGATATGAGCACCTGTCTTTGCAGAGTCCCCTAGATGTCCGTAGGGGCATCACTTTGAGAATGATCCTTCCTTCAATCTTCACTAAATCACAGGTTTGCAACTGATTTCAGGCTGCCCACGACACCAAGCCCCTCTTAAAACAGTCGATGGCGCATCGCTGTTGTGTAACCCTCGTGGAGCACCATGTCCAGATGGTGCTGGGTGCCATTTCAATTTTTGGACGGCATCCTATCAATGCTGTAAGATGGATACTGTAGGTAAGCAGGAGAGTTATGGTGCGCAGCATATGGGCACGACCAGTTGTCGCGCGAATTTGCCGCTACCCATCGCGATACGCCGCAAACGGCCAACGCGTGAAAGTATGCGTGATGAGTTCTTACATCCGAAATAGTAGTTAGAAGGGGACAAGTCCGTGTCAGTACAAACAGCAAAGACCCAAGGTGAACAATAAGTTGCTCGACGCCTTTTAATTATATTTCCTTATTATTATAATGTATTATTAATCCTACTTCTTGTTATTCAATTGATAACTGGTAGCAGCATGAAAAAACTAGCCCTGAAACGAGCTACTTTTGAGCGACCAATCTCTATTGACAACCGAGGAGCAGCAAGCACTGTCATTAGGCATAGTCTTTAGGCAGTCAAAAGCACTGGTGGAGATGTTTACGTTTACAGCTTCTTCGGATCAAACAAAAGATCGAGCTCGAGCTTTTTGAATGCAGAGCAAATAAAAAGCTTTCGTATTCATCATCCCCAATGCCATTGCAAGTGCTGAGTTCCGAGCAAAATATTTGGGCTTGATTGGAACTCTCCCTACAACGCTTCATGGGCTTACCCACTATCCTAGTTGTACCCTGTGCTCCTTTTACTTATCCTCATCATGGTATATGTGTGAATTTTATTGAAAGAAAAGTTCTCGGAGTCGAACAATACGTTTCTGGGATGCAACCCGTACTCGACTTTCATTAGAAATCGGAAAAAAGTTTTGATTGTGTATTGGGTTCATCCATGAAGGACGTGGCCAGTCGATATGCAGTTCAGTGCTTTACCCTCCCACACAACTAAACCAACTAAGTAACCCCGGAGCGATATAGGGTTTGGCTGATGGGGGCGAATATCGATACGAGACCCGACCTCTGGACCTTATCTATGGAATTTTAGGGTGAATGACATTTCAACAGGACCCCCAATTCTTCAACTTTCACCCCACTAAACTATCCAACTTGCCTTAGAGTTGAAAATAGAGCGAGACAGATCTCTATTAGATTGTGGAGTCCTCCCTCATGCGTTCTGCTCCGAATACCCGTTACCCACATAGCAATATGAGAGTTGCAGATAACATGTGGAAACCGTAATAGTCAAATGGAAAAGTCTCCTGGCACTGATCAAACTACTTCTCGGATGCGCTTACCCAATCAGCAGCGCTCTTAATCTTCTAGATAAGCACGATACCGATTAACGACCCCGAAGGGATGAAACGTTTTGCTGGCCTAAGTTTGTGTCCCTCCGGGATTCGATCCCTAGATCAGACGCGGGTAATAGAGTACCACTCGGCACTGTACTACCCCTCCGCCATCTTTACTACTTCGAAATATAAATTAATGTTATTGGATATCTGGTTCGTGCGAGAGGTGTGTGACATCGTCAAATCGCAATTATATCGTTTCGCAGATGTGCTGAACTACTCAGCAAACAGCTTAGTTCTGTGGGGGGTCAGTCGGTTCGCCATTTTTCGGCACACCTCTTGCTTTGTAGTATACCCCGACAAGAGTCTCGCGCACCCACAGAACAGCACCCTCAAGACAAATGCTCCTCCAATTCTCGGGACTTCTTTTTGCTTTGGTACTTAAATCCACCCATTCCAAATTGTTTCAATTCGAACGATGTGAGTTCACGTTTATCATTCTTTCTGTAGAATTTTTAAAAATTCATTTGTAACAATTCGCTTGAATTGAGGTTCTTATGAGTGCCTACACGTTTTTATTACAATTTGTTCATAATTAATTTTCGTTTTTTTAGATAGTTAAATAGACCAGTAATCTGTTACTTTTCAACTTCTGACAAATAGCCTATAAAATTACTGCACAGGCCATGTGTGGAGGTTTCAGTGCTCCTGACTAAAAGTCAGGCAGAAACTGTAAATGCGACGTCCAATAAGGCATTCAACTGAATATTCAATTTTTCTCTGGGTGATAATGAAAGGGACGGCAGTGTTGGTGTAGTGGCAAGTGGCTATTTTACACGCACGGTCACAGGTTCAAGTCCCGTATCGATATCCGCCTTAGCCAAGCAAGTCTTCCATCCCTCCGGGGTCGGTTGATTGGTACCAGGCTCGTCTGGGAGGATAAAAGCACTGACTTATACATAGGCGTCACCGCAATTCATTGTATAGGCCATATACGCAAACAATACGCCACCACGATTCTGAATGGAAGTCGATTGCGGGGCGCATCCCTCAGACGGGATTGATTGACGCCCAAAAACTTTACCCTTTTTATATTTAATAACGAAAGCAATGAAGGGTTGGAGGACTGGTAAAAAAGAATCGAAATGTGTTAGGACTAGCTATTCGGCTTGGATTTATTATTACTCAAAAAAGGCCTAATAGTTCTGTGAAATGAGGAATTTTGTGGTTGTTTTTTTATTTCTCTTTATTTCTCAATTTCTACTTGAGCCATTATGTTTTTCTTCATTTCTTACATTTTTCTCAATTCATTTCTGATTCTGAACACCGTCAGAGATTCCTCCAGGAACATTCAGATCTATGCCCAGCCGGTCAGGTACCGATTTTGGCCGACTCCAATGGAGAGCCGAAATCATGCCGGCAGAGCATGGTAAGTAAGATTCGTTAATAAACCGTAACAACATCTATCTCTAGAAAGTGTGTGAGGCACTTAGGTTTATTTACATTTTTTGAACCAATTTGTTGTCCCAGGACTGTCCAACGAGCTACCATTGCGCTGAGAACAATATTTGTTGTGGTTCACCGGGTACGTGTCCCGAAAATCAACAACCGGCGAAAGACAAATTCGGTAAGTTTGAACAAGCAATTCTGGTGGGATACAAGGAGTCGACCAGTATAACCCAAGAAGGGAGTACCCACTAAAAGGGGTAAACTTAGCGCATTCATGAGGTATGTCACCCAATCGAATTTTACTTGCAAACTTGGCAGAAATCATTGCGAGAATCAAGCTATACCCTTCAAAACCAACCAGATTTTGCCTTTTGGATGCTAGAAAACGGGTACTAAAGGAGCGGGTACAGTAGCCCTGACCTCAGTTCAACGCTTCAAGAATTGCACATAGTGACAACATCATCTGATTGATAAGTCTCTAGAGCTCTACGATTGAGAGCCGGGATGGACGAGTTTTCCGGGGTTATTAGCATAATGGATAAAATATGTAGTTTCTTCTTAACAATGAAGTGATGACGCTTGAAAAAAGAATAATAGCTGAAATGAGTTGAGATCAATAATGTTTCCACCGATAAAATAACGAGAACTTAGTTCACAGTCGATTTCATTTTTGTAAACGTTGCATCTCTTTGCGTAAAGGGCACATCCTACACACGCTGAACTAACACGTCCATCCGGAGGCGTGGCTGCTGGGTATCTTGCTTCATATCTCTGCTTGCTTCATTCAAAAGGGCTCCTTTCGAGGAAAAAGCATCATGTTGGGCTTACTCTTACTGTCAAATACATTTTTGATATCATGCTTGTACAAATTGCCCATTTAACCCACCTATACAAACAGTGGGAGAAGGAGAGGGGGGGGGGGCGCTCGGTCTTCACGAATTCCACCCTTTTTCGGCTGGTTCGCACATTTTTATTTTCAAAATGATGAAGAAACTTATACTTGTATGCTTGCAGGTCGGCTAACTGCTTGCACCGCTCGAAATGGCAATACATGCCCAACTGGGTCAAAATGCTTTCCGACTGGTTTTTTCTCTCAGCATCTTTGCTGCGAACAGGTAGCTACTGGAACTTAGATCACTTTGGCTCAACTCGCTTTCGACTTGTTCCACAAGAATACTCTCATAACCTCTTGGTTCAGATTGAATATACATGTCCTGGATACTCAACACCGTACCCAAGCTCACGATTCCCACAAAAATGCGACCTGGCAGAACCATGGCGATGTGGTGATAAGCAGTGTATGCCAAGGTTAGGAAACTTTTCTTGAGAATTTTTTTCATGCACATGGTTCATACTGAGTAATATACTGAGGGTATAAAAAATTACCCAGGGTTAAAAGCTGACCAATACAAGTCATTGTATAGGCTAGATACGCATTCAATACGCCACTACGATTCTGAATGAATGTTGAATGCGTGAGCGTATTACCCCGACGAGATTGATTATCGTCCAAAGGCTCTATCTTTTATGCTTTCAATTGATATTTGTTTACTGATGAACTTCTCATATTTTTACATATGGCCAAATTTTTAGAAACTCCAGACAGAAAATAAAAGAAAAATCAGACAATTAGGCCGAAATTTTTCAGCAATATCACGAACGTGAATATCTGTTGTCAATCGACGATCGTCCGTCAAAGAGAAGTAAATCCTTGTCCAAGTGGTTGGGCACCAAATGACAACGTAGTTACGGTAAGGGCTTCAATAAATTCTCTTTCTTCTCCCTCTTATTCATAAGCGATCACCTCCCTGATCCATTCGAAAATTAACTGAATCTGCGGGTTCCGAAGGCCAAATGTTGCACTGTCTCAACCCCACTCCCCTTGTCATCCATCTCTTTATATATCAGCTGGTCGTAGTAATCTGCAAATACAGAAAAGCAGCTACCCACCAAATGACTGCTTTATGATTCAAAGTGCTACCCGAGGGCATGGCGCAACCGGGAATGAAGTCATTATTCTTCTAGAATTTATTTGTTGAGCAATTATGACCACTAGTGGCTATCGTCATTCCAGTACTGCACACCATCATTCCAAAGTTCGTCGTGCCCAGGATTCTCGTCGTGCTTGCGTTCGACCGGCGTTCAACAACAATTCGTCTGCTGTGTACCGAGTCAGTAAAACCTCGTGACACCTTACTTACACTTACAACACTCATTTATGTTGCCTAATTTATGAAAACCCGGTTCCACTTCACGTAATTGTACATTTGTAAGTATAAATTTTGAGCATTTTTTCTGTGTCTTACAGTAGATTGAATCTGATGGGGTGTATTCTCAAAGCTCATGAGAATAGGTTGAAAAATAACGATTCGGGGTTCTTAGTCCTGAACTATAAGTTGGACTCTTGAAATTTCGACTAATTGAAATACTCATTGCTTATTTAGCAATAGCAGCCGTTACTCGTGATAGCTGCATCGATCCCATGGGAACTGTCGAGTATTTACAAGGCTTCCAGCGAAAATGTGTCCCGAACGCCAACTCCTGCTCTAATGGGTGGGTCTTTGAAGACTACATACTGTTCCAGATAAACTAACACCTTCAATGACCGAAGCAACCCTTCCCTGACGACTAATATCGATTGCCAGTGTATGTCACGGAAATATCTTCCCACTTTCACGGTGGTTGCACCGTAATCTCAACATCTCAATCTCAACAGATTGTTGATTTTCTTCGGAGCAAATATAACCCTGCCCAAGTTTTATACATTTGTCACTAACATTACCGGTCATGGGGATATGTCACGGCAATATTTCTCGGATTGACCTTATATCGATTCCTGTGGTTCGGAAAGGAACTAATGCAAAAAAAATGACCTTTCTTGGAAACGATTGTAAAAAGGTTGAAAAGTACCCAAGAGAATAAATACCAGAATTTGGTTTGATAGGGATACTACTGGAAAAAAGCCGATGCTCAAGCGATGGGCTAGGGTGTTCCGAGCTATTGCGTAAGGTATCGAAGGATTCGTTTGCTGTCCACTGCCGCTGCGCAAACATACGAACGGAGCCGGTCGAAACGGCGATCACCTGCAGACTTCGTGCTACCGTTGGTGTCATTCGTCGTCCACCTACTCAAATCCACAATTATCCTCTCCTTTCGTTCGATTTTTGAATAAGACCTGCGGTAGGTTCTGTCCCAGGATTGTAGTGGCTCTTTAATGTGCACCTGCTTCCTTGGGATCAGATTATGGCCCTTGACTTCATGAATTCGGAATTCCCTTTTTTCCAAAAACAGTGTCCCACTTTCATCTGTCGGCTCATATTACTTCTCAGGCAAAGAGGCCGTGGTCTAGGGGGAAGTGGCCACTAGCGCATACTCATGGTCCAGGGATCGAATGTCTAATCGATATCCGCCGAAGTCAACCAGGCTTCTATTGTCGGATAATCGGCTAGCCACCACAAGTCAATGTATAGGCATGCATTCAAACGCTACTTTGATTCTTAATGAGAGTCGGACAGTGGCGCATGTCGGAAACGGGATTGATTGACGACCAAAGACCCTTCTTCTTTGGGTTTTTGATCCTCCAGTGAAGATACATGCTCGTGCTGCTTTTTGAGAGAAAGCATGAGCTCACCGAAAGTAGTACCCTCGATCTCACTCCTATACCTTTTTTCCTTACTCTTTCTGGTGCCTTTGGTTTCGTTCATGAAGTGTCATATTCGTTGATGTTACGGTGTCCAGTGGCGATCGTAGTGGTCCGAAAAAAGTGTCCCGCTGTTTGTCCAGAAAGCGATCCCGACAGCCAGTCTGCATTCAAGTGGAACCGAGCCGTACAATGTTGCACAGTTCATGCTATTCATTTCTCTGATCGTCGCATTTTTAAGGCAGGTTTTCCATAAAGAATTGAAGCTTCTCATTTTTTGCCCCTGCCCCTTTCTGCGTGAATAAGGGAGACTCAAATGTTTTATTTCTACAGTAACAGGACAGTCACAAGTTTTTCAGTTGGGTTGTTTTTTTCCATTTTCATAAGAAAAACGAAAAATAAAAATAAGAGCAGTACAAAACAAATACGATTTTTTCCAAAAATGCTGAGTTATAAGCACAAAATTTGGTTCGTATAGAATTCGGTCACGCTCCCTTAATCAAAATAAACTTAGTTCAGTTTTAATCATTCTTAATTTAATTGTTCTTTTTTTCGATTCTTTTTACTTTTTCGAAGTAGGTGTTGGGTAAGCAATAGGTAGAATCGTGATATTTTAGCCTAATACATGATTTTATTGGTAAGTTATCGGCATTTGTTATTCACATGTTTAATTTGAAAATATATTCACATATAAATAATATAAGATTACATATGTAAAACATTCTACAGGCTTCCCTCTACTTTCTTTTTTATTTTTTCTAATTTTTTTTTCACCAGAAACCTTATTTAAACTGGATTACATATTCGCAATAGGGGAAAATCCGCCTAACTCGAAGTAAATTGTGCTCCAGGCTACAATATTGCGTTAAAAATCAAAAATAATGTCTAGAAAATAAAAACCTTTCGTGAAGCAACCTTGAAAGTGTATTTACAGCTTTTCTTGCCAACCATCAAAGCGGAATAGCTGGTTGTGTTGTTCGGTTGGACTGGCTCGAGCTCAATTCACCTGCCCGTTTGCTGGTCAAGAACCTGTTCTCACTCAGCAAGGAGGTAACCATTTCTGTTCCAGGCCTGGTACACAAGTGGACTGTCCTCAAAAGTAAGTTTTTAGAGTTTTTCTTTTTAGGCAGTAATATTTTTCCAAGTAACTTTCCAATTATTTCAGTGCTGTCTGTGTCTCTGCTGGTGACTCAAATGAAACTAACATATGTTGCAGACCAGCTGCTGCTGAGGTACCGTAGCTTTTTTCAATTAACTTTCAAAATTTTTACATTCGGGGCAGGAAGGGAGAGAAATAATGACCAAGAGTACTCAACAGATATCAAAAGACACATTACTCTAGCAGCCGATCTACAGCTTATCGCAGCCAAGGCTGTAGAAAAGAAAATTCGAGATAAATTGTAAGCTTGAACTGATTACAGCAATCAATTAAATTTAATGGAAACATTTCGGAGAAGCTGAGAAATAGTAATAAGTAAGGGAAATATAAATACAGTTATACATAAAAGGAGTGAAATAGCGTAAAGAATCAGAGAAGTACAAGAAAATAATATTTAAGTAAAAGAGTTGAAAGAATAAAATATTGGAAAAGAGGATAAGGATTATAAAATATATACAATGAGAAAGGCAACTTTTATATAGATCATGAGAGAAATCATTGAGCAGAAAAATGTAGAAAAGAAAAATCAACTTATCATTCTACGTGTATCCTACATCAAAATTTTACGAAGCTTTCTATGACGAAAAAGCTCTTTTTCCTTTTCAGACAATTCCCGAATGCCCCAATGGTGGAATCCGCCAACCGTCACCAGCTGGGTACAAAAGCTGCTCGATAAACTCGTTGAATGACTGCGATCCGGGGTAACTAGTTTAAGTCGAAGGAAATCTGTTCTCGAAGATGGAATAAATCAGAAATTACCTAGGTATTCATGTGTTCGAGCCTCGAACGACTTCTCTATCCAACTATGCTGCTCTGCTTCAACTTCTGCTGCAGAGCCTGTGTGTCCCAATCAGGGCTTCCTTTTGAAGGTGGGTGGGTCGCCTGTGTTATACTTTACCGCGAGTATGTATGGCGTTACAATCCTATTTACTCCTAAAAATAGAATGTTTTCATAGGAGCGTGGTCGCCCCGTGTACTGTTCTGCCGATCAGCCTCATCTGTGCCCAACTAACTACCCATGTGAGTCAGCTGTTGGTGCACCTGGAACCTATGTCTGTTGTTCACCATCAACAATATCCTGTCCTACACGATATTTACCGTTTTTGGATCCAAACGGTAACAAGGTAAGCACAATTGAAAACCAAACGACAAACATGACCAGCGGGCCACTAAAAGCACTTTGTGCGTCTGTTTAAATTCTTTTTTTATATTTTTCAATTCAATTTCCACCCTAACCAAAGAGCGCAACGAACCCGACTGACAGCTTATCGAATGAAAATGAAACATACTTGAGGCCTCTAGGCTATACCTCTAATCGAGTTTTTTTTTATTAAAATGGAATAACTAAGGTAAACTATTGATAATTTGTTTTGAGCTATTGTTTACTATTTATTCTTATAGATCATGTGTTCTCTATCGAATGTCAACGATTGCCCTGTCGGATCTACCTGCACACAGTCTATGCAATCACCTACAGTACACCTATGCTGTAAGGATGATTCAGGGTAAGGCCGTTTACTACTGTTTCTGACTGAAATGTTACAAAACGAAAATAACCCTGTGAAATGAGCCCTAAACTTTTGAATTTTCTGGAAAGTTTACAATAAAATTATTTTTTAAATTGACATCGAGTTCAAAAATCACTTCAGAGCTGAAATTAAGTTATGAAATTATTTTTTAAATTTTCGAATCTTTAAAAATTTTAATTTTTTGAGTAAATTTAATTAATGTTAATTCTGCTTCTGCCTCGAGGTTCGCTCGAGGAGCGATTCGCTACTAATGTACTAANCGTGTAGCGTAGTGCTACACTTCGCGGTGGAAGTGAGGCCTTTGAAAACGACGAGTCCGTCGAAACATTGGCCAAAACAAAGATTTCCACCTTACAACCTCGAGGCATAAGCAAAACTAACATTTTCAAGAACAGCAGTAATGCCGAGGTTTCAAGATGAGAGAACTTGGAATTTGAATTTAATTACATTAATTGATGGGTGTTTTGTATGCATATCTAGACGAATATCGAGAAAAGTTCATGAAGGTGAGTAAAGAACACGAGCAATTCCAAAAGCTCTATGGAGAATCCCTCTTCCAAGTGCCACTCTTGTCCCTGGGATTATGGGCACACATGCAGCACGAGTTTTTCATTCCAAATATGAAAAAGACAAGTTAAAACTGCTACCGTACCGAAAATCTACCAAAACTAGTCATCGTTGAGAAATTGTCCTACAGATGTTAGCTGGTGCACTATCCCTTTTATCTTAACGTTTTCAGCCCTCCATTGTGTCCAAGCAAAAGAAGGGCATTCATATCTGCCTATGGGACAGTGGAAACGTGTAGCGAGCCAGGGTTACCATGTAGTCAGGTAGGTTATCTTTGCAGTTCAATGGCTAACGATACTCAACTGGTTTGACAAGGTTATTCTTCTTTGATCAGATAGTTCGTTTACACTTCTTTTTCAAGACACTCAAAGCGATTACTTGCCCACAATATATGCTATATTGATTATTTAGGCCGAATATACGTGCCAGTTCTCTGATCCTCTTGGCCAGTACATCTGCTGCAGCCATGACCGTGTACCGGCGTACTGCGCAAACGGACACAAAATCTATGAGCAGATCGCTGGTAGAGGCTTTAATTCCCGATTTTTTAATCTTTATTATTTCCTTTCGTTTCGTATCTATATTATTTCGTTCGATCTTCAATTTTATTTTTTGAACCGTTTCAATTTTTCTATGTTGCGTTTCTTGGGCTTCNCCCCCCCCCGCACTGCCTTCTTGTTCTCATATTCGGTTACGAACCCTATTTCTTGCTACTGTATCAATGCTAGAAAGCATGTTGAGCTGAGCAGAAGCGTCAGGTCGTAAATAGTGAAAGTGAGCTTGCTTAACAGCTCAACATCCAAGAAAACAAAAAAAAAATCAGAAGCTGCTATAATCAACCCTCCGCACAGTTCTGGGTTCACCGAACCAAATGAATTGGTTAACCAAGTTGAAAGCAATTGGACGAGTTACCACGATCGCTAGAAAAATATCAAAGTCATAGGCGTGGTGAGTCGGACACTATTCCGGGCCGGCTGGTCTTAGATTTTTTATAAATTAGTATCCGGTCAAGGTAAATAAACAGCAATAAATGCAAATCGGTGAAGATGAGGATGAAATCGAATACTCACAGCTTATTCCCTTTCTGTCAACGTTGCTCCACCTTACATGTCTGGGTTAGGAATACCTTTTCCATGACGCGCTGAGACGTACTTTTAGGGGCGTGATCCTTAGCAAAGCGTATTTTAAGCTCTGTGGTACTTGAGATGGTCATCTTCGGAGCTCCTTCGTCGGTAACTGAACTACTATATAAAATATGTATTTCTAGGCGAAACGTATACATGCAACCCTCGGCAAGTTCCATCTTCATGCCCTGTTGGATACGAATGTTCCCCATCTACACTGCCCGAAACTAGCGTTTGCTGTGCTACCACTACAACCGGTAAGCTTGGAATCTTCTACAAAAAAATTATTTCAAAATAAGTTTACCCGAGACACTGGGCCACTCTTGATCACCTACTTTTTTCAGTTCCACCCCTTCCGCCCATAACATTACCTCCTCCTACGGCAATCACACAATGTCCACCTGGTTGGGAACCTTATCGCAACGACTTGGACAATAAGGAGAGAAGCTGTACTGGCCAAACTGATACCACGTCAGTTGAAAAATTGACATTGGGCAATCTAGGTTCCCTTCTATTTTCTTGGCTACAGTATGACAGTAAAAGTTGTCATTTCAGATGCCCCATAGGGTATTCCTGTTCCCCATCAATGATCTTCAGGAAGTACCTGTGTTGTCGGCCGTCTACTTCAATATTTTGTTCGCGTGGCAGTACATTTATGGTCAACAGTAATCCTAGGGTTTGCCTAAGGTATGTATTGGGTTGTCCGAAAAGTTCCCGCCGATTTTTGGTTCATCTTTGAATGAAAATTTCTAGAAGAAGAAATCTATTGTTTGAACAATACATCCTCCATTCTGTTCAGTAAGGCTTCGCCATCTTCCTGTAGGTTCCAGTTCCCCTCTTCCATAGAAGGTTCCAGACTTAAAATCGAAAAACCCTTTCAGGTGTTTTTGCAGTCCTCCAGCGAATTGAACGATTTTCCATTAAAGGAATTTTGCAGAAACCCAAACAAGTGGTATTCTGATGGTGCTATGTCCGGACTATTTGGGGGGTGTGGTGAGACATCCCACCCAAGCTTTAGCAACTTTTGACGAGTGGCCAAAAATACGTGTGGTCTGGAGGTGCCCTGTTGGAAGATTACGCCCTAACAATTGGCCACTTCGGGTGGCTTTTGGTCCATTGCTGCCTCCATAGTTTCTAGCTAACTATAGTACCTTTCCTAAATCATCTTTTGATTGTGCGACAACAGCTCAGGGTAAGTGATTTCCCTGAAATCCCATCAGCAACTCGGCATAGTCATTCGCACCTGGATTTTGACTTTTGCAGCGGTTTGTGACGGCTCACTAGGAAGCTCCGCGATTGTTTCCGCTCCTCATTGCTGTACACAATCCGATTTTCGTCCCTCGTGCTCATGCGTTTCAGAAACGGCTCATTTTTATTTTGTTCGAACAACTAGTCGCACATGGAGGCGCGGTCCATCGCACTGCGCTCGCTCCTTTCGCGAGATATCTAAATATCAAGGCGCTTTACAAAACCAAGCGTCTGCATATGACCATGGATGGTTAATTTTTAAACAATAAGCCCTTGTCCTACTCCAAGAGCAGTGATGTGACGATTTGCTTTGGTTAACATTTTGACTTGATCATTTAAACTGATGGTAGTCTTCCTAAGGGTTGCCGGTCTTCGAAGGCAAATTCACTCTGTTTGGATTCTGCAAACTAGTCGTGCACTGTACGCTCCTCTAGGGCATGGTATACCTAAACGTCATATATCTTACATGCGGCTTGAGCCGCATTCTAGGCCTTGCGGTAAAAGAAATAACTCAGATGCCGAAAATGCACACTGTGGTTCTCCATTTTCATACGAGTCCTGTACAGTCAAACTTCGACAAATGTTGACAGAATCTTAACAGAAATATAGAGGAGGATCTACTCGTTCAGAAAGCATATAACTTTATTAGATTGGGTCCTTGATTTCTTGCACAACGGTTGATAAATCCGGGGTATCAAAAATCGGCTGAAACTTTTCGGACAACCCAATAGTTATAGTCAAAGTATCATTTGAAAGTTCTCAAATAGAAAATGGTTCCTGAATGAACTTCAAAGTCTTGGGGAAAACAAGCCAAAAATGTCGTATACTGCCGATATATAAGCGATAAAGTAATATAAATGCATAAATTTCCTGAGAAAAAAGAGCGTACAAAAAGAAAAGTGAAAAGTTTTTAAGCCTCAGAGCAGATTCGTGCTATTTTTTTTCTGATCTGAACGGAAAACATTTGAAGTTAAATTAAATGTTTTTTTCTTAATGGTATTTTTTTCAGGAACCAGCCCAATCAGTGTCCGAGAGGCTACACCTGCGAGCAGAGCATTATCGTAAGTCCCCAACTTTTCCCTTGCTTCAACGCGGCATAATTGTTGGCCTTGATGAAATCCTTGTGCTGTCCGAGTTTTCGAAGTGAAACTGCCTACTAATTTAATGGCCTAACGTTTTAAAGCAATCGTCGTCTTCAGAGGTCTGAATGCAAATCGAATTGGTTTATACAATAGCCAACATGCGTTTGATCCCTTTCGCACACTGACGACGTGTCAGGAGCTCGGAGAATGTGGTCGATCCACCGAGGTTCCACTATGGACAGAATCCGCTGTCGCCACACATCAAACAGCAGTTATTCAAACCCAGCTCTACGATAAACAAATTCAAAACACACTTGATCACCACCCACATGATGAAAGAATCACTAGGGCTTCACCGTCAAAGCGAGCAGAATCCGCAGTCGCCATAGGCGACTAAGAAGAGCGAATGAGACTTCTTGATGTTTTCCTGACTAATTATGATGAGGATTCACATAAATCATCTCGAATAGTATCTAGGCCCCTGAATTTACTAGGAATACAAGGCCGTTGATTTAGTACACCTATGGAACACGTCAAGCAGAAGAATTATTGCTAAAGTAAACCAGTGTTGTAAGTATTTTAAAAATAAAAATTATCTTTATGCAGCCTTTGTTCTTTCATCGAAATCCATTTCGCCTTATTTTTATTACTACACTACGAATATTATGAATATCATTTGCAGCCTTCGATCTCCCTCTGCTGTAGTGGAGTTGCAAGACCTGAACGTCTACTCTGCACAGATGGCAAATCACCTTCCCTTCTGAATGGATTCATTCGGAGCTGTCCAGTTGAAGGGCAGACTGAAGGTTGCCCCAATGGAGACACCTGCCAGAGATCCACTACGGGAATGTTAGTGTGCTGTTCGAGGTGGGTTCTCTAGAAATTTTTGTCCCTTCAATTGTCTCAGCGATTCATTAGCACTGCTAAGCATCCTCTCAAACGAGCTTGGCACTGATTAACCGTCCCCGGAGGGATGGAAGGCTTGGTTGGCCCAGGCGATTCAAACTCTTGACCATGCGTGTGTGATACCGCTCCGTTTGCCACTACGTCCGCTCCGTCTATACAAACCGCCACTTGTATGGTTTTTGCAGATCCTGCAGATCGGAAGAAGGGGCTTAAAATCGAGAATGTTTCCCTATCACTCCCTCCTCCCATCGTGGGAAACGTAATTCCCCAATGTCTTGCTTGCTGACTTCTACGCCTCTCCGAACATAATAATAAAATTTTTTCCAAACATATATTTAAATCTTTAAAGTATTTTTGTTTCAGTTCGTCTTCCTCCGCAGACGTCTGTCCACAGAACAGGTAAGTTATCCCAGGGGTTGCCTTTTTCTCTGAAGCTTTTCCAAGATTTTTTTATCACCTTGTAAGCTTTGGGGAAAGAGAATTTTCCTGTTACGGAACTATTGATTTTTTTTTAATTCGGATTCTCGAGAAAAAAGGAACAATTCAAAAAAAGTACAATGCCAGCCCCAACTTGAGCGATCATGCTTTCGTGACCCAACCGTCATTTGGCAGGGGAAGGGTAGCTTTCACAGGGTAGCTTTGCATTACCTTTCTACAGGGTGTCCCAAAATTATTTGCGCCGATTTATAGCAATATATTTCAATCCTCTCAGCTGCGAAAGACGATGGAATCTCTATG